GATAGATTATGAAGCTCCATGGATATCGTGCTAAAAAGTTTGACATAGATTCCATCAGTATTTCAGTTATAAGGATTGTTCCGGAAAATGGGAAATATTTTATTGATAATACTAAGTAGAAATGTAAATTTAAAAATGGAATATATGTTAAATATATACGTGATTACAAATATGTGAACACTACTTATATATGCCTCAAAGTCAAAATAAATCAAAATGGATTGTGAGGCACTATTAAAGTTAAGGATTTGTAAGTGATTCTTTAGTTGTTAAATATGCAAAACATTAAAATAAAACATATGCAAAAAGAATTTGTAAATCTATAGAATTTACCTATAGCGATTGCTGTTTAGCTGAAGTTAATGGCGAGTAAAGACATTGACTCTGTCAAATGCTGTATGCTTTAATATAAATTATTTCCGCACTTCTATTTTCTCATTCTGATGAATACACTTTTTTCTAATTTTCACTGAACCTTTAGTATGCCCTGAAATTATTACATTGAACTACAGAAATTTATCTGTTTTTTTTTTGTATTATTTATTAATTCTGCTTTGGTATCATTATCTCCAAACACAGAAGCTTTGCCTTTGCCACAACACAGTGGCAAAACATCTGAATAAGGCAATAAGCTCCTTAATGAAAATGTAGGCAAGAATGCAACAAAACAATGATCAAGAGGGAGCACTTTGGTTTAGTATTTTCATTATTGCAAATCATAGGGATTTGCTTACCTTGGAGCACAGAATCTACTTCTTTTTACTTATTGCCTTAAGGGAAATACCTAGTAATGGGAATATTTTAAAATGTATCATATTTTGACATGATTTCCACCTTATGCCTGATCCAGTTTGTAGGGTTACTAAATCATTTTCCCCCTTATTTTATTTTTAAATTAATATACAGTAAAAACGACCCTTTTAGTGAACATCTCCACAAATTTTAACGCAGGTATAGATTTGTGTAACCACCATCACAATTAGGATACAGAATAGCTGCATCAATCCAAAAGACTCCTTTGTACTACCCCTTTGTAACTTCACCTCTGTCCATTCCAAACCCTGGGCAAACACTAATTTGTTCTCTATCTGTATATTATTGTCTTTTAAAGAATGTCATATTCATTAAATCATGCATTAGATAACTTTGGAGACTAGCTTCTTTTATTCAGCACAATGACTTGCAAATTTATCCGTATGTGTGTGTTCATTCCCTTTTTTTGCTTAGTAGTATTCCATTGCGTGAATGTATTATGGTTTATCATTCACTTGAATGATATTTTGCTTGCTTCCAGTATTTGATAATTATGAATAGAGATGTTATAAACATTCCTGTCCAGGTATTTGTGTGAACATAAGTTTTCATTTCCCTAGAATAAATACCTTGGAGTAATGTTGCCAGATCATATAGTAAACGTATTTTTAACTTAATGAGAAACTACCAAATTATTTTCAAATGTGACTATGCCAGTTTGCATTCCCATCTGCGATGAATAAAACCGTAGGTGCTTCGTCTCCTTGCCACCATTTGGTCTTGCCAATATTTTTTTAATGTAACCATTCTAATAAATGTGTAGTGGTATCTCATTATAGTTTTAATTTGTAAATTTTATAAATGAATTTGTGAGATTTTAATTTTAATTTGTAAATGTTTAATGTCTAATGATGTTGAGACACTTGTATTTAAAGTAATTACTGATGTATTGTGACTTGTTTGCAGTTTATTTTTGTTTTCAAAAATTAATTTTTTTAAGTTACAAATTAATTTATAAAAATTAACTTTAGTCTTAAAATTAATTTGTAAAATTTTAATTTTAATTTGTAAATGCCTAATGTCTAATGATGTTGAAACACTTGAGTTTAAAGTAATTACTGATATATTATGGTTTGTTTGCCCTTTTGTTTTTTGTTTTCTATTTGTTCTCTCATTTGTTTCTTTTTTTCTTTCTTTCCCTGCCTTCCTGTGGGTTACCTGAACACGGCCATTCATACATCTTCTTTGGTGAAATGACTATTCAAATATTTGCACATTTTAAAATTAGGTTATTTTTCTTCTCATTCCTGAATTGTAAGAACCTTTCTCTGTTTCATGTATACATCTTTTTATCCAATACGGTGTTCTCAAAAATTTTCTACAAGTCTGACTTCATTGCATTTTCTTGGTGGGGTCTTTTGAAAAGCAAAAGTTTTAAATTTTGAGAAGTCCAATTTTTGATTTTTCATGTATGTATTGTGCTTTTGGTATTATAGTTAAAAAAAAAAAAACCTTAGCTTTCATACCCAAGATCACAGAGACATTCTTTTGTGTTTTCTTTCAAACAATTTGTAGTTCTAGCTATTGCATTTATGTCTATATTTATCTTGAATTAATTGTTTTGTGTGTCACGAGGTAATTGTATACATTCTTCCTTTCACATATGGATGTTCAATTGTCTCAGCACAATTTGTTGGAATATAATTGATTTTCCTTGGCACTTTTGGCAACCGGCCGGCATACACCTTTAAGTAACCTGACTGGGGACCTGTCACATTACGGCCCACCCTGTCCTGTCCCCCAGCTTTTACATTCTGTCTGCAATCTTGCACAAAAGTCCCTGAGTGGGGTAAGAGGGGAAGAAATATATTAATATATAATATATAGCCATGGCTTTTGCATACAGGCCATATCCACAATAGCATAAAAAGCACACACCGTATACACAACAGCATAAAAAGCAGAAGCTAACTACAATTATAATGCCTATTAGCAAAACATACTTCAATGTGTAGGTAGGGTGTGTAACTAATTTGAGAATAAGTCAAAGAAATCTAATTGGATTGTATCATGGATCTGGACCAAAAAATAATGTAAAACGTCTGTGACATTATTCACTTCATCTGGCATATAGGTGCAACAGGTAATGTCTATAAGGGCACATGTTTTTAGGTCTCCAATATGTTGGCAATTGGGCCTCCAGGTGGAGACAATCACCAGTCAACTGGAGTTGCATTATCAGTGCTGTTGAACTGATCACTCCAGTTCTGTCAGGAGAAATGCAGAATATTCTAAGGTGTGCCATTATCATTTGATAGAGGGAGCTCTTATACTTAACAATCAGACTTGTTGCTGACAGCTGCTGTAGTCACAGCCCAGCATAGAAAGACATTACCAGCTGCCATGGGTAGCAGGAACAATAGCTATTGGCAAAAACACAGGTTTTTAGTAGGGACCCTTGTAGGTATATCCATTACTTGAACATTACCACCATATTTTCTCCCATTTGCCCTATTAGGAAGCCCACCATGGACTTCAGGCTTGTCTTGCAGTACCATGTTTGGCTTCCCTCTCTAGAAGCAGGCAAAATAGCAATCAATTGGTAAATTTCTGGCCTTGCCCACATTATCTGCACTATGATCATTCCATTGAAGCCTCACATTGTATTCCATAATATATGCAATTATTTATCAACTAAAAATAAAACTTAAAAAGAAATTTATTTACAATGTGATACAAAGCATATAAAAATATATACATAGGAGATAAATTCCTGGAAACACATGTGCCACATTTCTAATAGTTGATATGCGTGATGGTAGCCAGATTTGAGAGAAATGTTTCTTTTGAATTTTCAAGTATTTCCCAGACTGCTTATATAATTTTTTAATTTAGAAATAAAATAAGCCCTTTCTTTACTTATACTATTATTACAGTGCTTTCCATGAACTAGTATCTTCACTTTTTCCTTCTCCATGAGGCCGGCTTTCTCTGGACAGAGAACCTAAACTTTATTTATCTTTTTATTTCGCAGAGCCTATTTATTATTGTAATCATGCATTCATTCATTGGACAAGTTTTTTTTCAGCATGTTATGTACAAGAAGTCGATATTTGTAATACAGGGATAGGATACAGTTATGGAAGATAATGTATTCATTGAGGAGAATGAACAGTAAAAAAAAAAAATAACAACAAAAATCATAACCCAGTATAAGTGAAGACAATCTAGACATGCGTGAAAGTTGATGTCTATAATACAAATGAAGGTTACCTGATACACCCCTGGGAGTCAGAAAAGCCTTCGGAGGGAAATTAATCTTGAAAGATGTATAGAAGTCACCCAGGATAATGACGGTGGGAGGTGGTAACTGTCTACACAGGAGAAAAAGTGGAGCAAAGGCCAGAGAAATTAGAGTACATCAAGAAGACTCTAAATAGTTCAAGAAGTTTGAGTCAGTGTGAGTGGTGAATGGAGACATCCTGAGAGACAGAGTCGTAGGCTGGAACATAAAGGATATTGTATGCTTTGCTAACAAGTTAAGTTTCATTGTGAAGGCTTGAGAGAGTACTGAAAGACTGAAACGAATCTCTTTGGGATCATCTGCTTTTTATTTACCAAGATATCGCTTACACAAATGTGTTGTGAACAAGAATGAAGGCAGTAAAGTAAATAGGTCAATAAAATAGAAAGGAAAAATGACTAGGTCCTTGACTAAAGTAGGGATGCTGAGAATAGTAAAAAGGAGATAAAGAGATAAAATTGGGAGTTAAATTGTAGATAGGCTCAATAAGATTTTATTAGTTGTGATAAAATAAGAGGAAGAAGACTAGGAGGGCTCACAAGTTGCAGACACAAGAGACTGGGTGGATGGTGGTGTCACTCCCCAGATACACAATCTGGAAGGAAAGAATGCCAAAGAAAAGAATGAATGAATTTGTTATGGGGAAGGCTGGGTTTGAGGTACTTGTGGAATTTCCAACTGAAGACTCATTGAATTGTGGTCTAGATGTCTTCTGAGAGATCTGTCTATAAGTCTAGGTATGAGAGGCATTTTAACACGCTCATTATATACAGAAAAGAATGTAAGTAATTTCCCAGAGAGTTAAGTTGAACCATTCTCTTTTTTATGCAGAAGACACATGAAAACAAAAACAATCCTGTAGGACATCAATATATGAAGTCACTGTGAATGAGTCTGAGGAACAACCAAAGAAAGCTGGGAATGTGTGATATAAAATCCTCTAACAAATTAATACTCACATTTCTTTCAACAGGAACAATTCACAGAGAAGATGGGGATTGGAAACCATACCACAGTGACAGAATTTATTATTTTGGGGTTAACTGAGGATCCTACACTTCGTGACATCTTCTTTGTGATATTTCTAGGAATCTACATTGTCACCTTAATAGGCAATATTGGCATAATCACTTTAATAAGAAGCTGTTCCCAGCTTCACACTCCCATGTACCTGTTCCTCAGCCACTTGGCTTTTGTGGACATAGGGCTGTCCACAGTAGTCACACCTATAATGCTTATGGGATTCCTAAGACATGGAGTGGCCCTCCCTGTTACTAGCTGTGTAGCCCAGCTCTATTCTGTAGTCATGTTTGGGACGTCTGAATGCTTCCTACTGGCGACCATGGCCTGTGATCGCTATGTGGCCATCTGCTCACCCCTGGTGTACTCCACCCACTTGTCCCCCAGAGTCTGCATCCTCTTAGTGGTGACTTGCTACCTGGGTGGATGTGTGAATGCCTCAACATTTACTAGTTGTTTATTGAGTCTGTCTTTCTGTGGACCAAATCATATAGATCAATATAGATCATTTTTTCTGTGATTTCTCTCCTTTGTTGAAACTTTCCTGCTCAGATATCTCCATTCCTGAAATGATACCTTCCATCTCTTCTGGATCTATCATTGTGGTCACAGTATTTGTTATAGCCATCTCCTACATCTATATCCTCATCACCATCCTGAAGATGCGCTCCAACGAGGGGCGCCACAAGGCCTTCTCCACCTGCACCTCCCACCTCACAGCGGTTACTCTCTACTATGGAACGATTACCTTCATTTATGTGATGCCCAAGTCCAGCTACTCAACTAGCCAGAACACATTGATATCTCTGTCCTACACAGTGGTAATCCCCATAATGAACCCCTTTATCTATAGTCTGAGGAACAGAGATGTAAAGGAGGCACTAAGAAAGGCAACTGTCAGAATATATTCTTAGGATTAATTCACAGCATTTCAGACAACCTATAAAGTTTTCATTATCGGTATCACACTTAGGACCTACCAAATACTGCTTAACTGACTGCTTAAAATAAAATTATATTTATTTGTTCTAATTTTCACTTTTAAATACTTGTAGACCAATTGGGAGACACCTAGACATCAGTAATAATGATAGTAATATTTATTACTATTATTAAACTCTTATAGATGCCAAGCATTTTTCCCTTATTTATTTTGCAAACAATAGCTTTTACTTACTCTGTGCCAGGTCCTATTCTAAGCATGTTACATATGTTAACTCATTGATTCCTCACAACAACCCTATGAAGTGATGCCACTATTTGTATTTCACAAATAAATCATCTGGGCATAGAGACATTAAGTGGAGTGTCCAAAGTCATGACGTTAAATATGGGACCAGTAAGTATTTGAATCAAGAAAGTTTGATTCCAAACCATTATTTTTCTTCATTTAATTTTCTCAGCAATCCTATGATGCAGGAATAAATTTCCCATAATTTACAGCGGAGAAAACTGTATTGAAAGATACAGTAGTTTTTACAGATAGATGTAAACTTAAGTCCTCTGTTTCCAGGATCCATGCACTTAACCTATATCAAACCATGACCATCGGCCTAATGACATCAACATTGCTACTGAGCTAGAGGATTTGGGCAGGACAATCAAGCTTAAGCTGTAACTTTGTATCAATTTTTTGAACAAACCCTACCACTAGATGGTCTAGGTAGTGTAGGCTCTGAATGAGGGTGAAAATTTGAAAGCTGGATTGGTTGTCATCTTTTAGGAGATCAGATCTTAACACCAAGACCACATGATTTAGCTAGTAGTTTATCTATATTTTAAAGCACATTAAAAACAAATAGTCTCCTTAAATATAATGTAATATTTATTTGTAGCAATTAAAAGCAGTGTCCTTTAATTCTTTTTTTTTTTTTTTTTTTTTTTTTTGAGACGGAGTCTTGCTCTGTGTGGCCCAGGCTGGAGTGCAGTGGCATGATCTTGGCTCACTGCCAGCTCCGCCTCTCAGATTCACGCCATTCTCCTGCCTCAACCTCCCAAGTAACTGGAACTACAGATGCCCACCACCAAGCTGGCTAATTTTTTTGTATTGTTTTAGTAGACATGGAGAATTAAAAACAGTGTCCTTTAATTCTAAACATTGCAATTAATGTGTTAACAACAATAGTAGTTCCATAGGTCTGAATTGATACAGAAATTAGAACATGTTTTAAAAAAAAAACAAACAGAAATGTTGTTGCATATCACATTAACTAAATGTTTTTCTTGGAGAATGATTTATTTTCATTTACATTATCACCATAAGACTAGAAAGGATGAGGAGAGGTCTGCTGGAATACAGAAACTACCAATTCCAAGCAAATATCGAAACAACTGTTTCTGGTATCTGGGAGGAAGACTTAGAATCCAGTTGTCCTTTTTACCTCAGTGTAATGGAGAGAGAGAAGTGAGGGTTGGGAAACATAGGAAATTTTTTTAACAAAATGAAAAGTATTTAAAATATGCTGTTCAGTGAAAATATAGAGTATCTATAATATTCTGGCAAATTTTTAAATAGAAAATACAGAACAAGGAGTGAAAGGTAACAAGGAAAAACTAAAACACAGGAAATGAATAAATAATGGGGTTTTAGACACATTCCATTTTGAGTTTCTCTTGTTTTAATACTTTATAATAAAAAAACATTAAAAGTAGAGAAAGTTTAATAGTATATGCAAAAGACTTGACACATACTAGGCACTCAAAACCATGTGGATATTTTGAATACAGGCAGAACATAGCTGCCTGAATTTCCCCTTTGAGTAGTGGGAGAGTATATTCTCCTTCCCATTTATGGACAGTAGAACTGTAGCCACATTGTAAATCCCTGTGACCTTGGCAGGGTCTTCCAACCCTTTAGTCATGCATCTTGCACATTAGAGGGATGCAGAACCTAAGGCACTCTTTTCTTAATGTTGTTGGAGACAGTTCAGTTCAACATTATGATTTCCTGAGCACTTATTTAATGTCAGGTATTGTGCTGATTTAAAAAAAAAAAAAGCCATTGTCTGATCTCTAAATACTTACTATATTGTATAAAACATATGTGTCCCCGCCTAGAAGCAGCTTCTCCATTCCTTCTCGAATCTCTGTTGAATTTGGCCCATCTGCCTTTACTCCAGCTTCCACCACTCCATCAGGGTGACCCAGAAGTCCTACAAAGTGTCCACCTCTGGTCCGGGACTTTCAGCAGGGGCTCCTACAAGAGTGGGCCCAGAGCCCACATCAGCCTCTTGAGCTTCGGTGGGCAGTAGCAGCAGCTTCTGGGGCGACAGGGCCCCAGGATAGGTTTGGGTGGAGGCTATGCTGGTCGGATAATATGGGGGCACAACCACTGTCACGGTGAGCCAGAGCCTGCTGAGCCCCATAAGCTGGAGGTGGACCCCACAGGGCTAGGAAAAGCTGAAGCTGGAGGTAGAGTTTGGCAATATGCAGGGGCTGGTGGAGGACTTCGAGTAAATGTAAGGATGAGATCAACACGTAGACAGAAATGGAAAATGAATTTCTTCTCATCAAAAAAGATGTGGATGAAGCTTACATGAAAAAAGTAGAGCTGGAGTCTCACCTGGAAGGGTTGACTGACGAGATCAACTTCCTCAGGCAGCTGTGTGAAGAGGAGATCTTTGAGCTGCAGCACTGGACTTTAGACACATCTGTCATCCTGTCCATGGACAACAGCAGCTCCCTGGACATGGATGGCATCATCTCCAAGTCCGCGCTTAGTCGCGGAGATGACCAGCCACAGCCGGGTGAGGCTGACAACTTGCACAGGATCAAGTGTGAGGAGATGCAGACGCTGGTGGGGAAGCATCGGGATGACCTGTGGCACTCGCAGGAGATCTCCAAGACAAACTAGAACATCAGCCGGCTCTAGGCTGAGACTCAGGGGCTCAGAGGCCAGGGGACTTCCCTGGAAGCCACCATCATGGATGGCTTGCAGCGTGGGGAGCTACTGGTTAAGGATGCCAGTGCCAAACTGGTGGAGCTGGAGGCCCTTCGAGCCAGGAAGGCCTTGCCCTACAGCTGCAAGGAGCTGATGAAGGTCTGGCTGGTCCTGGACAGTGAGATCGACACCTACAGTACGCTGGGAGAGGGCAAGGAGAGCCGGCTGGAATCTGGAATGCAGAACATGAGTATCCACATGAAGACCATTGGAGGCTACTCAGGTGGGCTGAGCTGGCAAGCTCTTGCCTCAGCTATGGCCTGGGCTCCTTCCAGTCCAGCTTTGGCTCTGGCGGGGTCTCCAGCTCCTTCAGCCACACCAGCTCCTCCAGGATCTTGGTTGTGATGAATATCAAGACCTGAGATGGGAAGCTGGTGTCTGAGTCCTCTGATGTCCCACCCAAGTGAATGGCCTCTGTAGTCTCTCCCATCCTACCCCTTCCTGTGGCTGTTCCAGAGCTTATGAGGGAGGCAACTGTGCAGAGAAGAATAGAGAACAGGAGACCCATCTGAGGCCAAGCCCTAGCCCTCAGCCCACCCTTGTGGGGAGTTCTGCCTTAGGTACCCCCTCTTGCCCATGCCCCCAACTAAAAATCAATTTAATTTAATTTATTAATTATTTTTTTCCAAAATAAAGTCACAGCTAACTCTACCAACTTACAAGACAGCAAGCAAACAAACAACAACAACAATACCAAAAAATAAAACACATCCATATTTACTTGTCTAGAAGTAATTTGGTACTCACAACATGGTAAGTGCAATGAGGAGTATGCCTAAAGAAAGGACACTTTTCCTAACCACTATTGTAGAATAACACTTTCTGGAGAATAAAGCACTAAAACTTGGTCTTACAACATGACTAGATTAATAAGGTAAGGCAGTGGAAAGGTGTTCCAGGTATTAGAAGTTGCATTATCAATGGCACACAGGAATAAAATAGCAGGTGTTTGGGAAATTACAAGTCATTCTACATTTATGAAGCTTTCAGTATGGGGTGAAAAGAAGTGGAAATAGGTGATGTCTATATGAAACAGGTCATAAAAAGCCTTACATTTGATGTGAAAGTATATTTTATGCAATAATGAACTATTGAAAGCCTTTTGTAAAATGGTTAGATATGTTTAGATCATTCTGACAACAAAGTAAAGCATATCTTTGAGGATGCCTGGTTAGGTAACAATCTACAGTAGTCCAGTAGACAAAGGATAAAGATTTGAATATCAGTAATAGAAAAATACAAAACAAGGAGAGAACAACCTTGAGAAAGATTTAGGGGAGATGATTGGTAGAAATTGTTGATTGTTGGATGGGGGATTAGATAGAAGGAATAATTTGGATAACTCCCATGGTCCCAACTTAGGTGAGGGAGTGCTCTTACTGACACCAGTCTCCCATTTAAAGTCCCAGGTTAGAGTAGGAAAGAGAGTAGTGTCTGTAAAATCTGTAAATTCTTTCAGTACACACACTGCCATCAGAAGAGCAGATATTGTGAGACTCAAAGGCCAGCTTTAAGGATTAAAGTTTCTTAATCTCACATAGACCAGTCTTCTCCAATTTCTGAATTCAACTCTAAATGCCCTGACCCTTTGATCCTGTCTGCCCTGCTTTTTCACCATAATAATGAACATTTGTAAGTAGGCAGCTTTTTGTCTTTTTCCTGAGGTCCTAACCCTGGTCCTTATCTTTTGATAAACAACATCTCCAATAGTCCTGTAAAAATTTCAGGTGTATCCTGATTCCCATGACATCTTGTAGCATTAGTTATGCAAACTCTGCGGTCCTGAGTATAAAAATTAGCCTCCTTTGGATATTTTGGATTCATGTCTCAAAGTTTAGAGTGTTCACAGGTCTCCTGTATTTTATGCCAGTTATCATTTAAGCCTTCATAATTGTCAATTAATTCAAGTCAAAGGCCAGTGATAAACAAGAACTTTCTGATCTGTTAAGATTTGTATATCCTTGTTGGCATGTT